TTGGTTATGGTCAATATATATTAATATCAAATCTATAATACCAATCAGTTTTTCAAAAAAAGTTCATTGATCCTAAATTCAACATCATCACTAGTATTAATTTATTGGGTTGCTTTTCCGTATTTAACATTTGTTATTATTTTGAAATATACTTTGATAAACTGGAAATTGGGCCTTTAAATACAAACGAGTAATTTTATATAAACCAGACCAGACTGAACCTGTACAAGTACCGCGACGAAGCGGATTTTCCCGCGAACCTCGTAGGGAGAAAAACATACACATCGAAATAGCTACCATGGCAATAGTAATTTCAATGTCTCGTGCAAACCGTGCCCTTATCCTCGGCAGTCATGGCAGTGGTTACATTCTCTGCGTAGACTCCGAAATCCATTGTAAACTACTGAATGTCTACAAAGAATCGTTTTAGCTCAATCCGCGGAACTTGGGACTGGATACTATGTTGGCACACGGCCAAATCACACGCATGTCGGTCATATAGAGCAATCATTTTAAAAGCCAAATTTAAAACTAACGCGTTGCTTGAAAACAGGAGAGGTAAACAGCTGATTCAATTGAGCCCCCCCCCCACACCGAAAAACGCCCTCTAGAGTTCAATTTTCAATCCCACAATTCTTTACAAAATCCAATATGAATTTCTTCCCTATAGTAAAATAATGGTATTTAGCGAGAAACATCTTCTGTAATCCCAATCTTTGTTTTTTGTCCTAGTCCTAGAATGTTATAAAATTTCGGTATTATGGCCCCGATCAAGAAGCGAAAATTCAAGTTCACGGAACGAGAGGTTTTATTACTGCGCAATGGAATGATTAGCACTGTAATGCTCGATTGAATCTGCTATATGTTAACTTGAACATGACTCATAAGGCGGTATTAGGCTTCTCAGTCTGATTTGGCACGTACAGACGTCAATGACTCACACTAAACTGATTGGTTTACTCACTTTAATACTATGTATCTTCGAGGGAGACAGTATGTGATGAAGAAACAGCAAAAACAACAACATGGACACTTTGCCATTATTTATCTAAACATTTCCCGGTCACCTCAGTTTCATAACTGTTTTCTAATGGCATGAACCCATAACCATGAAAGTATGAAGAAAATGTAATCTTGAATACGTCGTATATTGCGCCCTCTAACGACTGACATTTCAAATGTGTCAACAATATAATTTATCTAACTATTTCGAAGTTAAGCTGTGTATCACTGCCCAAAATTGAGATAATCTTTAGCTGATACGTCATCAGGCTGAGGAGTGATCTCTATTCTCACACGTCGTGCTCGCACTAGGGAATTCGCCGTCACTCGACAAGCCCCTGTGTACACCTTACATATAAGTCTCGCCCTTAGCTCTTCTGTGACGTCAGAGAGCTGCGGTTGTTTGTGTGGCCGTCGTTGCACGATGAGTAATCATCACAGCTCCCTGATTATACTGACGAATGAATACAGTTTCACCCATCATGTATATAGAGGGCGTATGTTTCTCTGCAATACTTGAATGCGGTCCATCACCAAATTCCATCACCAATACTTCACATGACGTTCAACTGAATACAATGTAATAATATTATATAAATTTGTTTCAGTCGTCAAATAAACTAGAAAGATCAACAATGTAAATGCGTTGGAAGTAATTTATACAAATTAATGCTAATTAAATACGACCAATCCCGCCCTGTGTGGCGAGGATCTCAAGGTTTGCTGCGGATACTGAAAGAGATAAAGTGTCGAGGCCGCACGCGGCGTCACTTTATCGCGGGAAGAACTTTATATCCCAGAGAGTGCCCACATACGAGGTGTTTAAATTACCCGACTTGAAATCTGTCACCCGCACCGTCCGAAAACTTACATTTCAAGAGAGTATAATACTTTAATAAAATAAATTCAGTCGTGTGAATAGCCCTCCGCGAGTTCCGTTCTGGGGAAAGGCTCCATATCCCCCCCCCCCCATAGAATACGCTATACAAACCCTGGAGCTTTATTGCGCTATGCATGAATGTAATACACGTGTTTACGAGTCGTGGATATATTTCGGAATTTATTTTAATTCTTCTATTAAATTTGCATATTTAAAATGTGGCAGCTGGACGCTATACTCAAGCTTGCATAACGATCAACTGACGAAAATTCGTGCTCTAACCCTGAACATGACAGTTGAGTCGAAGCATATGTGATACGTCGAAAACAAATTTCAACAAACAAGCTGTTGACTGATTGGTCGATTTGGTGTTGGGTTGGCCAGCCAATCAGGCACATTCTTGTAAGCAGCTTCGTAATGACCCGAACACACTGAGTTCGAATGTCAATGATTGACATGGAATTATATGTAGACTATGGAGCTGTGTTTGTATCCAGACACACGTTCTGAGAGTTCGAAACCAGCTGTGGTTGTTTTTCTTTGTTCTACTCATCTTGGTCAGAGTATTTTTTTTTTCAAATTGTCATCTATTAAAAAGTCCTATGGTATAAAGTATTTATATTATAAGTAATCCCTTTTATGTAATATATGTATTGTAAATATAACATTACATGAAACAATTCAAAATGTGTATTTGTAAGTACATTTGTATTGCGTTACACAATGAAAATGAAGTATGTGTATTTGTAAGTATTACGTTACACGCTGAAATTAAATATGTATTATAAATGACATATCATATGTGTATTCAGTTGAGTGGAAAAAAGCCACGTCGTCACAGGCATCGTTATCTCACCATTGACATTTTTGAGCTGTAAATCATTCTATAAAGTTCTGGCTGGTGTTCCGTTGTGTTTGACGACGAACGTATCTCTTTCTGAATATTTACAACAAGCATGCAAATGAAGCTACACATCGGGTACGAGGTTAATTGTTACTTTGAAATGATGACGATAGCAATTAAGCTACCTGGACAAAGATATATCATTTAAACAAAGCTAAACAATCGAAATTACACTTTTTCTTGGCAACTATTTAGATATTGCAGAAATCGAGTTAAAAGTGTTTTTACAGTAAATTTCACAAAACGCTATTGGTGGAAACAAAAACAACCCAAGATTTTCGTGAAAGAGACATTGTCAAAACTTTTATTCAAATTGCACGCAGATCGTAAAAATAAATAATTCTGCGTCTGAATCTAATGAAATTAAAATAGGGGTTCTACAGGGGTCCATCCTGGACCCACTATTATTTTGATCATATGCAAATGATAAGCCGACCGCTGTTTGTAATTCTAATATTAACATATACGCGAATCAGACGGTTATTGATTATGTACAGACTTCACGTGGTGAAGTGTAGCATAACTTTAACGGCGACCTTGAATGATCAAATTCATAGCTACAATACCAATTATTCATCTCAAATCCACCCTGTTACAATTAGGGCGCATTATATATAATGTAGTTTTAGCTACATCGGGGCAAACTTATGGAACTCAATCTCATAAAATACTTTAAGAGTCAGAACTGTCATATTGTTACATTGTATGGAATAAAGAAGGATGTGTACTATAAATATTATAATTTATAGAGGAATTAAGTATGTAAATTATGGGGAGAGGAACTATGTATATTTTAAGTACATGCACTGCGTTGTATGGAGAAAGGGAGTATTTGTTTGTAAGTACTAGTATTACAATATTCGGAGCAAAAATAGCGAAATGATAAACATGGTGCTAAGACTCTCAAGTTGCACTGCCCTCCTTATCAAAGCAATAGCACCACATGTATCCGGTTTTACACATACATCCCTGGCGGTTCAGACAGCTTGTATGTCAAAACCATATTCGCAATAATCACGGGTGAAGAGCGGCCAATGTCACACTCGATACTCACATGGACGCAATGAACGTATACACAATGGCAATAGTAATGATTTGTCGTATTCCCTCCGGAGACCATAGTCGCTACTGTCATCATTCCAAGCTGATAAGCCTGCTAAATAAAGTTTTAAGACAAGTTCTTTGGAGTTGCTGATACTTTGTGAATGAATTGCCATACTATACAAGATCATACGTGAAACATTTGGCGGAACAAACTGTTTTTGAATATTTCATAATTGAAGGTGTTTTATTTTTTTCGCATAGAATCGTGTGTATTATCCCCGTATTCAACTTAAAGTAATGTCGTAGTGTCAACTCAAAAATGTAGTGAACGCATGTTTTGGATATGACTTTGTATAGCAATAAACAATACAATCACAAAGCATCAACACTTTGCAAGAACTGGTAAATGGTATGAGGCTTACAGGTAGGCCAAACAGATACATCAAACAGATGAATGGGTCAATTATATCGATAGAATAACAACTGACAGTTCAGGATCGAAAACATACAATCATGCTATTAAATTGATATCAACACTTGATCTATCAAGATATTGGAGTTATCGGCCACCAAGGCATACAGTTTGTTTCTTTTAAAGGGTGGTAGTCGTCGCGCCACACATGCGCGAGATATACGAGTCTCCTATAAACAAAGATGGCGACTTTGACTGTTGCGCAGATAAACGAGTACAAACTTTGATTAGGTATTTGTTAGGTGATTTGATTATGGGAAAATCAATGTTTATAAACACAAATGTCGCACATGCGCAGCGAGAAGACCACGCCCTTTCAGATTTTTCTATTTGATAAGTATTCTGAGATTACAAAGACAAAATTGAAAAACTATGTTCTAGTCACCCTGGTTCTATTATGAATAGCCTTGACAAATTTGTTAACCTGTTTTCGTTGTTTATGTAATTTACCGTACTGAGATGTTATGTTGCGTATACTGTGTTTTTTATTTTATGTGAATTATTCTGTTTTGCACCTTGAAGTGCATTGAACTATCCTACCAACAGAGAAGCTTTCATGGCAACTACGATTGTTGACACGAGCTAGATAATAAAATATTCTTTAAAGTTTATTGTCCATTTGTGGGGAACACGTGAAGTGTCGTGTGCAAATTATTTGCAGAATTCCTACCCAGAGTTACCCACGGCTTGCCTAATAACAGGAATCTGCCAGTCTGTCTCACACATCTTTCCGTCATTCCTGAAGGTAAGTCCGATGCTCGCATCTTTGATATGAAAACCTTTTGACATTATTGTTATATGAGTTCACGGATCGACGCTACTGATGTTAGAGTACACTGCCCAAGTTTAATATGAATTTAAGTAGCGACTGTCTAACTTTTTTGTTAAAGCTCGTTATTTTTAGTCGGAGTTATCGCTAATTATCACTGATCACTGTTTAACGGTCGTTGTGTTAACAACCTCCTTAAGATAAAGAAAACACATTTACCTTCAAAATTATCGCTTCGTCATGTGAAATGTCCACGGAGTGAGATGTCCATCTCCTGTGAGCTAATGTTCAATGTCCTCCGACTTCGGTATGCCAGCAGAGTGTGGCGTCTGAAAAAATTCGAAATATTCAACTCTATACAACTGCTAGCAAAATGGGAGAAAGCACATGTACGCAATGTTACAGTTGTGAATCGCTGTGTACGCTCCATGGGCCGGGTCAACGTTTGTTTGAGATTTGTTTTTGGTTTGTTTGACAGTACTGTCATTGTGCCAGGCGTACACCGCGAGCATATACATATGTCAAGAAAGTGTGTATTTCATTCCATCAAAGAAAGGAGTGTTGTTTATTTTGCGACTTAAACACTACTACCGGTGTAGTAGTTAATATACACTTTTGATGGGATTCGCATGAAATGGTACGCTTTACGATGCATTGGTGACTTTAGAAAAAGTTCAGGAGTTCATCCAAAGGGGGCCTTGTGAAATATGATGAAAACGCATTGACAGTAAGCCGAGTAGATAACCGGTTATCTTCGGTACATTGCTAAAATTATACATAACTAACATTGCAGTGTTGAAGGAGCCATGCCCCCATTGGGGCCCCTTGCCCTTAAGCCCAGACTCCTAAATATGTCAATACAAACGCCTCTCGTACAGTACGTACGTGTTGGTGTATCAATTCAGTAACGGTCTCCCCGGTCACCACAAATTCAGTTTATTGTCAACTTTAGATCCCCGAAATTTGTACAGAATTCAATAACGCGACGGATTCATTTCTATCATCTACTACATGATTGTCTCGTAGCTATCCTTATATGGCCATTAACTGCGGAGACGTGCTCTAGGGCTGGCATTGGTATTTCGCACTCGGGTCAACGTTCTCAGTTACCGATGTATGTGTAATAACAATATGTATATTGGAAAATCCATCACACGGGAAACCGTGACAGTGACATTTTTTGGACAGTTTTGAAGCCATGTAATGAAAAGCTTTTCTCCCCAGTCTACTCAGTAACCAGATATGGTGCTTGACTCCCCGTAGGGGATCTCATACTTTGCACAGTATGCATATATGCGGAATACCCGCTTTGTGGTCACACTGTTATAAGCATAACTACTCTAGTAACTGGTGAAAACATAAATACCACACTTAAAAAAAATAAAACGAACTTGAATCTCAGCATAACTTGAGCAATCGGTAAACGAATTAAATCAGTGAACGGGTAAAAAGCAACAACGCCCAAACGGCTCTGTATAAAGCTGTACAGACTGTACTTTATATTTGTAAAACAAATAAACACAGTAGGCATGACGTCACATATGCCGGATGAAGATTGTTGACGTCCCGGTCGTATTTTTTTTACGCTTCGCTGATCATCAGATGTTTACATCCGGGCTAATTCACGACCTTTCCCCTGTGCAATGTTACAGAGTTTATCCACTTATCAACAGATTTTCAGACAGCAGCACAAAAACGATTTGCGCAACGTATTTACGTACATGTACATCAATGTGTAACTAAACTTGTGTTTATACGGTATTGGCTTGGGTTATTTTTGGTGCCGCTCAATCTTGATGTGACGTCACATTACAGCTTCCATGGCAGCGCATGTCGTCCTAACGAACGATCCCTGGCCCTTGACAAGTGATATTTTTTTTTACATAAATGACAAACATGCAAATAAAGTGTTAAGACTTGTCTAAAACCCCGTCTAAAATATCAATATGTGCGATAAATTCAGCTTATTTGAAGTATTTGGAAGGACCCGGAATTCTATCGTCGTGCGACGTATAAAACAAACGACGACACAATATGTGCCACTAATCCCCGTATATCGGATAGTATTTCCAGATCGTAGTCATCAACTGAACCAGCGGCTTTTATATCACCAACAGCTGTGCTTTGCCAGTACCTCAGACAACCTCTGAACCAGTACGTACTGTTGTGTGCCAGTGATTTATGCTAATCGTAGTGGCGGTCCTTGTTTCCTAGATGGTACCTCCTGGTGTGTCCGCATTTTCTTCAAAGAATGTGTCGTCCAATTAGGTTTAACATGCCCCTACAAAATAGGGGTCAGGTATGGATGAAATAACAACTGTCATGAACAACGCGAAAATTTAAATAACGTCCACGATGGTCGGAACTCAAATTCCTTGTCATTGATTTATTGATTTATTGATTGATTGATTGATTGATTGATTGCCCGTCTGATTATTTTTTAAAAAAAAAATTAGAAATACCATGGTAGTTTTGAAACATTATGGATGTTTCGAAAACTGTGGAAAACACCCTGAATGATTACAAAAACTTGATGCTAAAAACGCAATGTCAACTAAAGTTTTACAAGAATGCAATGTAGTACAATAATTATATTTTTGTTATGTTGTAAAACATTCTTGACCCCCTGCCCCCGACTTCGTGAAACACCACAGGAATCATACCCTGATTATAGCTGTGAACTTACACACGTGGGCACACATGCATTCTTTTCATGCTTCGATTCATCGTATTGACGCAGCTGCCCCACCCTAAACATATCTGGAATTTTACAAGTGTGCATATTGTTATCGCCTTTGGTTAAATGTATCGCAATCGGACACCAGAACTATGTCGAAATCACCACCAAGTATGGTGTTTTAACTAACATTTTTTGAATAGCAATAAGCATTGCGTATGATTCATAGTGATGGGATGTCTGCTTATAATCACAGCATACCCCTCATTCCAAGCATCGTTGTGCAACTTCACCTACTTATAAGCGAAATGTATGAGCCGTGATAGTTAAAATGTACAAGACACTGAAGCCCAATTAATTTCAAGGGTTACTGTGACAATTGTGACCTTTTCAAAGTAGGTCACAATGATCATAAAGAATCCTATACTTCTCAGGACAAGTCTCGCGAGAAATATCTGACACATATACGAGTATCACTGACAACACTTACAAATTAATATGAATTTGATCACCAATATTACAGGACAACACCAGACGCACCATAGATGTTGTGTGCCTGTTTATAGGGATGTGTACATGCCGCCGAAGTTTGAAGCTTCGCCATCTTTTCCAAACATGAGTGCAATTTTTCAATATTAGTTTAAATTAAAAATAAAACACGATATTCAGATAAACTGTCTGAAAAAAACGAAGTTATCGAAGAATTGACCTACAGTGGTGCTAATTTCCGTGTCATCGGAGGAACTAGTACACTCAAACAAAGACAACCCCTTTCCATTATAAACGTATGCCGATAACACAGCTCGGACAGCCGATTACAGACTTTCACAATTTTAATAGTTGCGTGAACTTCGACAGTAAATAATGTGTATGTATATCTTTTTCATTACAAACCAATAATAAAGAGTCATTTAAAAAAAATACTATTGGTGTGAAATATCTGACGTAATGCGGAGAGAAGATGATTAACATTCTCGAAGACAATATTATTGAACCAAGGGAGGTATTTTCGAGAAAAAATAAACAAGCTAGGGGAGGGGTATTTATCGCCCCAGGCACACCCGTGCTCTCCACTCACCCGCCTGTATAACATACAAAATGGTAACTACTGTGAATGGTTATTCATTGAATAATTTATAAAAACGTGCTCCATTCGCCCCAACCATCCATTAGTACTTTTATTGTAAGTTTGATGTGCCACATTTTTACATTTATGCACAGGCACAGTCAAATACAACATAATTCAACATGCCTAAATTCGGAGGAGCCCCGAAATGTCCCAGATGTTCTGGATCAGTATACCACGCAGAGGAGAAGATCGGTGCTGGAGCCAGCTGGCATAAAATGTGCTTCAACTGCAGTAAGTACCAGTATTCCGTGTAATGTACATTTCCCCGCTTTCCAAGAAACATACAGTGCCCCCAGTTTACACATTACCGTTAAAATTGTTTAGAAACTTAAAATGCCGCTTTTAAAATCAATTACAGCAATAGTAAATTTTGGTGTAGATGTAGACTGGCAAGACTTTACAAAAAATATATAATTAATTGTCAATTTAGCCTTTTTAACGTGATAGCAAAAAATATCGCGACTGCGAAAGAAATTCCTGTCGATCAAGTTCGTTTTCGCAATCACGCTATAAGGACTACAATAACAATTAATTGGTTCTTTTTGTAAAACAAAAAAGAAGTCCCGACTTTGCCAGTCTAGTGTAGATGATATAATTTCGGAATGATTAGAGCAACCATTTGAGCGTCGTCTGATCAAACAGTAACTATAGTTTCGAGCACACATGTACAATATTAAATATTCTTGAAAATAAATAAATAAACACTCCCTCAGTCATTCCATAAGTTTTCGGCGTTATTGTAATGAAAATAAAATAAACTTGCCTAGATTTACTAATGTATTTGAATTACTTGAATTAATTAACGAAATAAATTTCCATTCTGCTGCTGGAGAAAAATAAAAGTTTGGAATAAATTTTAGCCTAAGATTGGCATATTGTGGGCAAATCAGAAGCATGTGATACTAGTACTCATTTTCAATTTGATAACAACAAAATGGACAAAACTTCGGTGGGTTACCGGGAGTCAATTGTGACAATTAATTAATATAACGTATGGATTTGAATAACCAAAGACATTTCTATTGTCTTTGGAATAACCAAGGCGCATTTTTCTTTTTGTAAGATTTGTGCCATAAAATGTTGGATTCAAGCACCCTTGGAGAACATGACGGTGAAATCTACTGCAAGAGTTGCTACGGGAAAAAGTATGGACCTAAGGGATATGGATTTGGCGGTGGTGCTGGCACATTGAGCATGGACCAGGGTGAGCGTCTTGGAAACAAGCCTACGCAACAGTAAGTTGTCTTGTTTACTGTTTTAACAATCCGCCCATATACCGTGTATATTTTACACGTTGTCAGTTAACTCGACCGTATGGACTCTTGAGTGTTTTGATGACAATCCTAGAAGTAAACTGGTGAGCGTAAACTGCTTTCATGTAGCGTGTAAATAACCATGACAAATGAATCAATCTGTATGATCTTTGTATGAGGCTTTAGACTCTGAAAAGTTTATAACAAATTTTATCTAATACAAAATCTCGAAATGGAATTTAAAATACTCTTCTAAAATCAAGTAAACCGGGCTTTGAGTGAACACAACATTAAAAAGTATGTTTGATTTAGTGATTACCAATATTTCAGGATTTGTTAACAAACCAACCCATTTTATCTTTTTTCATGGTGACCACAAATCAACGGGAGGTGTTCTGATATAATACAAAGTGGGAGTGTAACTTTAAAAATTGAAACAGTGTGAAATATAGTTATACTAGTAAATACTTGACTTCAAGCAAAGATATCCTCATTGCTAGTCATTGTGAGCATTCTCCGTTTTCCTGTGCATTTTACAATAACACGTTTTAATACATGCTATGATTGCTTTGCAGAACTGGGCCAGCAACAGCCCAAGCCTACACTCACTGTGATGTGGCTTCTGACGCCCCATCTAAATTTGGCGGTGCTGACAGGTGTCCTCGTTGTGGACATTCAGTGTACCAAGCAGAGAAGATGATCGGTGCAAACTCAGTAAGTTGTCAATCCCTGTCATATCTATCCCAAATGAAGTAGACAACCTCTCTGTTCACAATCAGTTTATCAATTTCAATGGAAAAGGGTGTATTTACAATATCCATAGATTTGTCTAAAAATGTTCTCACTTATATTTTCTACTCTCTCTTTCTCTCCCTAGAGCTGGCATAAGAAGTGCTTCTCTTGCGCCGCCTGTAATAAAGGTCTGGATTCCACAACGGTGTGTGACAGGGATGGGGAAATTTTCTGCAAAGGTAAGAAGACATTTTATATTCCACCAAATGATACTGTATATGTACAATCAGAGCTTCAGTCCGTACGATTTGGATTCGTATTCAACTTCGCAAGCAATGATATTTGTTCTCCTCGATTTTTCTCTTCACAGCTTGCTACGCAAAGGGATTTGGCCCAACGGGTGTCGGTTATGGCCAAGGAGCTGGTACACTCAGCACAGGACAATAAATTTGCCAGCCGTCAGGGAATTTCATTTGAAGTTCAACCTCAATTTCCATACTGAAGATATCTAAATACACTGTTCTACAGAAATAATAAAACAAACATACACGACATACAGATCACTGGGGAATTACGGACATTAGAAGCAAAATTTACCATGAATTTTAGAGGTCTGAAATAATCACGTGATAATCACATGGTGCACTGTTTACGTCATGTGATAATCACGTGATTTGTTATAGCTGAACATCGAAAATAAATCCACGGTTGCTAAAAAAGTAACCGTGATAAAGCCTACCGGAAAGCACGTAATCGCACGTGAAAAAAAGTTAACACTATTTTCTCGGCCACATTAGTGTCCAACTTGAACTAAGAAATGTTTTATTCACTAATAAATAAAAATAATATGCACATAGGCATACAGATTTTACGACAATTCTACCCATATCCTTAAAATAGATTATATACATTGTAGAAGCTTTCCTTTCCTTTCACACATCTTTCTAGTTTCTTAAAACGCTTCCATATGCACTGCACCCACTTTAATATAGCAGAAACAATAATAGTTTTTAACTTATAAAATAAAGAATTTGAGGGTAAAATTCACCTAAGTGCCTTTCTGAGAATAATATAGCAAGGACTCATTCAAGTCGTAAATCGCACAACCATTCGCATGCAGCACACACTTTGCATAGCCTAGTGTATTGTAATGCAGAATTTTTCTTCTTTCTTCCATAGGCTAATAAAGTTATTTCTTTTTACGTCCTTTTAAAATCTCGGTCTGTTTTGTCGCGTGATCTCAGTCTCTCTCTCTCTCTCTCTCTGCCCCTGTATGTCAAAGAACACAAAGTTTCCAAAAGAAACAGTTCAAACACGAGCCCCTGTCTGGTATAGATATTAATAATAAAACAACACTTTTACTGATTTACCCTAATTTACTTCTACTGATAAAATGCGGACCATTAGAAAAATCAACCAAAATACCCTTATGTCAGTCTTTCAAATAATAGGCAATGTTTATGCTTGTATTCTTCCTTCTACGCGGAATTCAGAACGCATATGCGTATCCCTGAACAAGACAAGCGTGTTGGCGCTATATCATTAAAAAGGAAATTTTTATTATTATCGCCAGTGAGATTTAGACCACGTCGTTGGTTACACCATTGGCCATCGAATGTATACAAAAATAATATGCAATATTAAAATACTGACTCTGACAACTATATTTGATTGAAAGCTAGACCGGGTTTTAAGTTGAGATTTCTAGAACAAGTTATATTATTCATACATGTCGATTATTATGCCAAGTATCAGAACAATACAGCATACACGCATTTCCTTGTATCATTAAATAGCGCCACCTAGTGTTCAATCCAGAGTGATCCTTACTGCACTGATGGTGAGGTACATCACTGTTGTCACTAATACACTCTTTAACCAGAGTTATTGGGGAACCAGAATTGCATATTACAGAGTATGACATGGTAGAAATGTGTACAAATCTTTGGCTGAGCAGTGTTGGTAGTGTTGTTTATGTGTGGGCTTCGAATACGAACACAATGTTCAGCACCATCAATGAGGTTTGATTGACAAACCATGGAAAAAGGGACTGAAGCATGCGCATAAAATATTGTAATGACCTTTAACGAGGTTATGATGTAGACACATCTCGTGAATATTATAATTATTAATAGAAAGCATTTATTATGAAATGCCGTAATCATGTATTTTCGGTCTCAACTCTGTCTATTGTGGTAATTTGAAAACTGTACACACTTTCTATCATACTAAACCGGTCACCTAATTTAACAACTGTCTCTGGCCTTTACACTGTAATCTGCATGAGCGTAGACAAGCCTATATAGGTTTTGATTGTATATAGCGTCACAAGTGGCTGTTCTCGTCTCCATGTGTCCGATATAAAATTAAACATTTGGTAACATTTTTGCATACCTGATTTCAGTGGCAAATTAAATGTTACCTTTTAAAGACACACTTTAATGCAAATAAGATTTTTTCCAATATACAATCACCCTAACCATTAAATCACCTGGGATTTTCAGTTGTTTTATGAGATAAACTAAAAAAATTGTGTCCTGAAATAATGAACTTTGTAATATAAAATTGTGTTTTTAAATTAAAAAAGTAAATTGCTGATTTTAGCATTTGTCTGCATCTCTCATACAGTGTTCCAAAACAAATTGCAGGAGACAGTAGTTGAAAAAAACCATAAAATCAAACTATTGTTAAGAATCAGATTTGTAATCACTCCTATTTTACAACACTTTGCTCACTGAACTAGGGAGTCTTAATAAGCCAACATAGTTCAATACACTAAGTATGAAAATACATACTAGTAATCACAGATTCCATCAAATTTCATGTTGCAATGATTTACTGTATAGAAATAGAATTGAGTATTTCCCAGGACGAGATATACATTAGCATTACAAAGTTTTCAATCATGATTTAGACAAACATTTTCATCATTTCACCAGCAGCAGATTTAGAGGGGACGCAGGAAGGCGGGCACGGTGCTCAATCTGCTGTTACTTGTACACGTATATCCTGTCTGTCACCATAACGCCATAAGTTACAGTGTGCCTCAATTTTGCGGTACTGTAAAATACTTTATTTTCACTTGGAAATAATTTTCACTATTTTCGCTGAAGGAATGATTCAGTGAAAATAAAATCCAGCGAATATACCTTTTTCCTATATTTTACATTCAACTCATCAAAAATCAGTGGAAATAAATTCCATACAAAATATCTGAAAATTGCTTTCAGCGAAAATTAATTACAGCTAAAATAAAGTATTTTACCGTATTGCACTGGGTATTTTCATCCTACCATAAACGCGAATTCCAAATATGGAACAGTTACGCGCGCGTAAGTGTCTTCTAATAGTAGGAACCAAACATGGCTGCCCCCAGGGTTTGACTGGACGTTTTTGATTTCGGCATTCTCATTGTGTATTCCTGGGAGATAAAGATGTATAATAATAAGGTTATTACGAGGATATTGCAGCTGTACTTTCTCATGCATACTTTGCAGTATCCTCCCAATAACCTCATAATTATGCAATGCAATAATGATGTCATTATAAAAGCTAATTTCCATAATGTTAATGCTGATATACAGTACAACCTGAAACTAACAATTTCAGCACTAAATCAATGAAAGTGATAAAAAGACTGCTGCTGCAGCAGGCTTCCCTAACTGTTTAAGAAACTTCACTAATCAGTACTACTTAACTTGCTGTTTGTACATAGCTGTGATGATTCCAGTGTAACAATAAATAGCTAAGTAAGATCACTATGGCAACCATGAAATATCAAATATGTAATTCCTAAGACATTTCTTTGAATAAATAAAAACAGTAACAAAAAAATTCTAATGCCAAAAGTAAAGAATTAATAACACCTTTGACAAATTGAGGATACAAGAATACTCATGTTGAAAGAAATAAGTAGAAACAACCCTTTATTAGTAAGTGCCATATCTGCTCCTGCCAAACAAGTTTTGATGTCACATTTTCATGTATTATTCAATAATCTCTTTGTTAATTTATAGGTATTGATAAAATATTGAAATTATTAAAACATAAATGTCACAATCTGGAGGCAAAACAAGACATATATGGCCTTGGATATCATAAATAATTAGATGGTCACATGAACTTATGTCAAGGCATGTTTGAAAATTGGTTAAGAAGACTTAAAAATAAAAAATAACACGGCTGCCACATTAGACATTTCAAATTATATCAAAATAATTTGTCTGTAAAATGAAGGGTAATACAGTTCTTCAAAATAATACAACATAAGAGCATAAAGATGGAGAGAAGAGGTTACTTCAGAATTACTGTTCTCAGCCAGTGTGATTTTTTTTTTACAAAAGCTCTTGCATAGATGTGTATGTACAAAGACAGTAACAAAATAAGATTTTAAAACTACTACAGGAATTAAGAAAAAAATTAGATAAAAACACATGCATACATAGCTTGGAAATCATACTCTGGTTTTATATACAAAATGAGTCAATGGGTTTACGAAAAAAAAACACATTTTAGATCAACTTGCATTATAAAACAGTTCAACAATCAAGATGCTTCAATATGAAAGAAGGACTAATACCAGGGATAACATAGTGGTCCTTTAACTGAATGCTTGGATTTTCATTACTATATTTAGAAATACTGGTGGCAAATATGAAACTTGTATAAACTTATCTTTGGTTAATTGCCGATAACACACATGTACATTTTCATTTTTGATATCATACATACCATATTTGCTCTATTAGTAATGCATGCACTTTCAAGAATTAGAAGTAGTACCTAAAAATAAGTAAAAGTTAATTGATACAGCGTACTATAAAAAAGCAATTTCAGGGATGTGCTTCTAATAGAGCAAATACAGTAATCATATTTCATTTAAAAAAAACAACTCCTAATACGCTACAGGGTCTAGCACTGATTAAAAACATAAAAGTAAATGTCACAAGGAAGCAGATGAATAGACATTAATGTTACACATTATTCTTATGAAGATAATTAATCCTTAGAATTAACAAGCCTAAATTACTAGATTGTACTAGAAAATGAACTTCATTAAAAAAAATTGTTCAGTCATTAACCAAACTCCAAATAAATTGATTTGGTCAAATTTGACTTCAATAGTGATTGATCAGTTGAGTACGTTATCATCTAAGTACCCTGTACTCTCATCACACAGTATTCTTGAAAGCAGACGCATCATTAGAAAATGTGCACCAGCCAGTTACTGTGAAACATCTACATGGATTATACTACATAGAAAATTGAAGTTCTTGTAAGCAATGCAGTAGCCATAAATACTTAACGGTCCAGTCGTTATACACTGGCGTCACAGACATACAGGTTACAATATACACCAACTCTATAACAAAGTAATAACCATGTACAGCTTGTCACTACACAAACTGATAGTTTTCTTGGGTTGAAAGTGGTTTGTAAGTGTAGCTGCCTGTTGACTGTATGTCCATATCAAACTGAGTCTTCCAATCAATTTTCATTGGCCGACACAATCCACAGCAACGAATCTCAAAGAAGTTGACAATATTTCTGATGTAGCCATTGCTGGAAAACAGAATGAAAAAACAACTGTAAATACTGTTGTTAACATAAACAGAATATTTCAAGTTTAGGTCAAACAAAGAAATAATCTGTTTGTACTCAGTTCAAAAGAGGACTTTCATGACTTTTTTACAAAAATACTGAAAAAGGCGCACCATCACACCTGTTTTATGAGCATTTTAGACCCAGAAACTAATCTTTTTTTTAGTCCAGCCTAGTTAGATAGCTGAATCTTACAGTTCCAGCCAACTCACAGGTAGGATTGCATCCATCTGGACATGCACCATTAGACTAAGATTGATCACATGGATGTTAGCATGCATGAAAGTATACAATGATACTCCACTTACATCACCACTCTAAAGGAAACTGAAGGAAACACACTCACTTGAAAGGACTTCTGATTCTTCCCTTTTCATGTCGGAAATGTTTATATCTTGTCTGGTTCATGCGTTCATTTGTTGACATGCCCAATGCACTGATCTGAAAGAAGAAGTATTATCATGTTTTAGTAATAGTAGTCACATGACACTATCAAAGAAACACAAGACAGTCACATGAATATCACATGGCAACTGTCAACGTAACACATGACAGTCACATGGACATCACATGGCAACTATCAAAGTAACACATGAGTCACATGGACATCACATGGCAACTATCAAAGTAACACATGAGTCACATGGACATCACATGGCAACTATCAAAGAAACACATGGCAGTCACATGAACATCACATGGCAACTATCAAAGAAACACATGACAGTCGCATGAACATCACAGCAGTAAAATATGCTTAGATTAGTACATACCTGGTACATTTGACAGATGAATAGGAGTCCAACCCATACAACATGTACCAGTGCATTGACAGAAGTCCAAAACACCCATGGTGAACACTTCATTACTTGAAACAACCAGGCAAAGATTCCATCCTCCTCAAAGTTAGTCTCACATTCACCATTCCAAACTATAGTGGTCAAAGACATGTAATTATGAATACCTTGATAAGCAGCTAGGATAGATATTATTCAATGATATATATTTATATACACACTCAAAAGTAAAATGAGAGCAATTTTCAATAACCATTAATACCAATGATATGTCCATGGTTGTTAACACCCAATAATGAACATTCATTTTCACAGCAGATTATCAATTAAACAGGGCACTGACATTTTTTTCAACTTAAAACTGAGTACTTCTCATAGACTAATAAGGAGGAATCAGAGAAACCAGCGGGCATTACACCTGTTAAACTGTCACCGGGCAAACCCAATATCACATACCATATTTTCTCTATTAATAGTGCATATTTTTTAACAAATTACAGTTGTAATTGTTTCTATGGTCAAAATAGGTGATATTTTGATGATTCAGAACACAGTATATGTGATTTTGGGTTTGCAAGTATATGCATTTCTAATCGAGTATTAAAAGTATACTATATTTGCACACAAAAGAGGGACATGATATAAAACAAGCCTGTTTTTAACAAAGAAACGAACACATAGGAGCAAACATGGTAATGTTATTTATATTGTAGGTATTATAAATTTGTTTTCCCATAGTAACTTGGGTCGATGGTGAATACAAACATATTCCCAACTTGACTATATAGCTGTGAAAGATACAACAATGAATGAAAATCAGTGATAAATTACTCACATTGAATCGTTCCGTACAGACACCATATGATCATGATTTCCAAGAAAAATAAATAACCAATAAAATATTTGTGATTGCCGGCACCTGTTGTTATGAACAGCAGACAATTTAAAACATTAAATTCAATGTCTAGATGTGATGAAATTTTGCTGATTCCAAAAATGTACAGAGCTACCACAACAACATCTTCACATACTGTGGCCCAGTTAATATGCATATATATAAAATTTAAAACAAATCATTAGGAATATTACAACCCTATCTTTTTGTAACTGTATATGTTTCAATCTACACTCTGTACTAAATAATTGGACTGCAATATAATCACTATATAATATAGACAAAAGACCTCAATGGAACACAAAACTCGCTTATTATCTATGCAAGATTTGAGATACATGTAGAAGCAAAATTGCACAAAATAAAATAAAAAAATAAAAAAAACAAATTGATTGCCAGTCAGTCACACTGGATTAGATGATGACACAAAAAAAGTGTTATTGATGTGTTAAAATACAACTCTGTGTACCAAGCTTGAACCTACTTGAACTGAGTGAATTTGATATATACATGCAAGCACTGTGCAAAAAAAGTCAAACATTGTAGAAATTGGTCAAACATACAAACAATCTTAGATTGGGCTATGACGTGGACAAACTTTTACTGTGTTACTGTGCAATTATTTATCCACCAAGCAGAACTGTGCCGAAAAAGACAAAATTGAAAGAGAATGAAAATAGCATACACACAGTAGTAAAACACAAACTAAATCATATTTTATAGTGTAATACTCACCAACACAGTTGTCAATCCAGGGACAGTGGTGGTCAAACTTAGCAATACATCTATTACAATATGAACAATGCTTGGATCTGATTGGCTTTCTAATTATACAGGTTGTACAAAATACCTCAATTTTCAACTTTCCAGTTTCAGCCAGCTCGATAATAGTCTGTAATATTATATCAACGTTTACAGAAAATGGTGAAAAACAAGCAGCCTATCGGCTGAGATAGCTCCGCTGTTAGCAATGCACATTTCAATTAAAGAACTGAAGACATCATTAGAAAATAAACAATATGAATAGTATCAAAGGAATCGGACTTACAGTTTTCAACAAGAAGTCGAAAATATCACTTTTTACCAAAAATGACAAAAATATTCACCAAAATTAGAGAATTAAAGATATCATTACAAAATAAACAAATCTGAGAGAGGTCCACTTGTAGTACCTATATATGTAATATCAAAGCAATTGCACTTGCGATTTTTAACAAGAAGTCGAAAATATCACTTTTTACCAAAAATGACAAAAATATTCACCAAAATTAGAGAATTAAAGATATCATTACAAAATGAACAAATCTGAGAGAGGACCACATGTAGTACCTATATATGTAATATCAAAGCAATTGCACTTGCGGTTTTTAACAAGAAGTCGAAA